AAAAGAGCCTACTCCTATTTAAAAGGCCGGCAACGCATCTGTAATTCCCCTGGTGTTGCAGTTGTTCATGGGCGGCGGTAGACACTTACCATCAGGTGAGCCGCATGCTCGTTTGCCCCCTCTCCTATAAAAAAAGAGAAGGATTTTTACTGGAAAAGGGGCATTCCATCTTAGGTTAACAATGCATCTGCATTTTGATTCGCAAACGAGGATAGATGTAGATGTCTATGGGCCACAGCAACCACTTACCATCAGGTGGACTGTGTGCTCACTTGTCACCCCTATCGTATTAAAAGAAAACTTGACAAATCATTTTAACATTACAAGACCTGCATTTAGAAACCATACTTCAGTCCTTCGTCTTAGCTCGCCAGATTTCAGAGGTCAGCCCCAACCGATTACCATTCTTTTTGCAATTTGGATAATTTCTTGCAAGAAAATAACGTCGGTTCTTATCAAACGGTACTAAATGGCTTTATAGGCATAAATGATCTTTCCTCGAGATTGCAAAAATGTTAAAATGAGGGTAAAATATTTCGATTAAACAAATACTTATAGTTCTTCTTAGAAAGATGTTTGCGGCTTTATGGTCTCATTGGTCTAGTGGTCGTAACCACTATTTCTGATCCTGAGATCCCTGGTTGAAATCCCGGCTCGGGACAAAAATAAGTTATTGGGTTTTATGCCAAGAAATTTTCAGTAGCAGTTCGGCGTCAGGAAGTTGGCGGTGTTTTTCCCCGTGCCTCGGAAAGCATTTAAAGCCGTTGGTCCTTCGCATGATGCCTCTCCAGTGGTATCGGAACACTGTCCTATCGGACTAAGAGAGTGAGGGAATAGAGAATGCACTTGTGTTGGCGCATACACTCTGACACTATAATCCTGTCCTGCACAGATGGCTAGTCTACGTTGAGGCTGGCTGCCGTGACTGAAATTCAGTCTGTAGGACATTATTATTGTTACAATAAGACCGGTTGCTTAAAAGTTCTAAGATATTAATAATAATAAAAAAACTAAAACTTCCTCCGCAAAATGCTTTTCTATAGCTGTCTTTTTTTTAACTCCAAGTCATTAGGTACCTGATATTAATTTACAGCATATCGAAAGTCAACTACTGTACAAAGGCCTCCCTCATAGATTGCCTTATAGGGGAGAATTTGCCTTAGTTGCCACGCTTGGTAGGGCTTGACAACTTTCTTCAAATTATTTCACTTGAACACAACTCCAATTTATCCAAAAACTCCATCCGCAGACCATTTATGGTATCCCAAGCGTACTTTACTCATATGCAAATAAAGTTAGGATCCAAAGTATTTCCTACTCTTTACTTATGCATAGCTTTCATACCACTATATCTGCATTTACCTAAGTATTTATCCTTCAGCCCTACGGTACTTATGTTTTAACTTTGGCGGTGTTTGTTTTTAATCACGGTCGTTAGCCTTCTGCAATAATTGGGCCCAACGTTTAATTTCCAATCAATTTTCTTTTCATAAAGAGTTTTATGACGGTGCGATGCTCCAATGTGGACACTTACTTTAAATAATTACCGCAGATATCATGTGACAGGTACTTCATCCATCCATTAAACCCTATTCATTGTTGAACATAACATAACATTCTAATAATACTGTAATTTTTAGCTATGGAAGAGCGAAGTCACCTGTTACAGGCATTATTTTGCTTACTAAATGACCTCGATCACTGATCATATAATGTAATTTTAATGTTTGACGAAATAAATTATTTATTATTATTATTATTATTACATAAGCCTTACCCGTGGATTGCCTCATCGAAGGGATTTTGCCATAGTTGCCCCGCCTGGGGTTGGCAACCGCAGTTTCTTAAAATTCTTTGTTAGAAGATGCCACTGTCCATTTCTTGTTTCAGTTTTCCTCTATCGCATCTTACAACCACACTGGTGTACTGTAGTAGCGGTATAAAAATAAATCACAACGACATGGGGTAGTGCATATTCATGTACGTAAGTATATTACACTTCAATGTTCTAACGCAGCCTATCCACCTGTCTAAAAGTTCATTGCTTAACACAGGACTCCCTTTTAAACAAATACGTAACCCACAGAATGTGAAAAATTTACTACCCTTACTAATTTGTGGAAACAATATCTAATATTATGTTTATATAAAACCTATGATTGAAACATTTGCTATTACTGTCGCCTTATTATAATAAATCTACCTTACTAGTCTGCGAAACGAACGTCTGTTGGCTTGTTTTGTAATGATGTTTGGACGACTAAATACTACGTTAACAGAATTATTTACGTACTAGCTGTGCCCGCGGCGTAGCTCGCGTATACAGGTTTTACATAAAGAATTTGTCGTTTAGGTAAGAGAATATTAAACGATTTCTTTCATTACTGTATCAATAAGTGGTAAATAAATAAATCATTATCATCAAAGTTTTAAGTCGTTTACGATAGAGCTTCTGTGTAAACGACGTTAGAAGTAGGCTTAGCCGAGGATTACACAAAAAGGTTACGGGGGCTACTAACGCGGGAAAAAGCAACATAGAGTTGGCCATGTGCAAAACAGTCAGTACTGAGGTACACTCCTACAACGCGTAAAGTTTGACCTTGCGCTTTATTTACGGTCATCGCATAACACACGCTCACTGTAACTGGGAACTGAACGCGCTTAAAACTGAAAGGAAAGTTACTTCTTAATAGAGGGTTTTTGGGCAGTGCTGCCAGATAAAAAAAAACTCATTTAGCTCTAGGACAACACAAAAAGCGTTAGATCTCATGAAAACAGCGCTTTAAAAAAGCCCTAGATTTCGCGCTAAATTAACTACAAACAAAGTTTGTGTTTTTTTATATAATCATAATAAAGAAAACAACATTAAGTTTTTTTTCTGGCAATATTTTTTTGATGTATCAATACTTCGCAGGACATCGACTTATAATTATGGCAATTGCTGTCAATAGTAGTTAGTACTGTACGAACAATAAAAATGTCATTAATTGTTTTAAAGTGCAATGTATTTCCCAACTTAGTTTCAGATGTCAGCATCTGATTGCCGTTGCTACACAGTTTCTTTGTGTTATAACTTCTAAGTAACTTTTAACTTAGCTGTGCTCGAAGCAACTGACTGAAACTGAATAAAGCAAAATAAATGCGTTGCCAAAACCATGAACGAAAACTTTAATAAAGGGGATTTCCCCGCTTATAGTCGTCGGTAAAAAAATCAAGTTGATCATCCTAAAGGGGAAGCCAGGAGATCCATAGCACAGGGTATCCTAGTTTGGACTCGTCTCCCATGCTTTTTGTTTTGTGGAAAAAATATGTTTGAAAAAGATAAACTGCAATGTACTATTTGTGGGAAAAAATAATAAAGGTCATTATTATTATTATCGGTAATGTGAACTAACAGTGCTGCTATAAAAGAGTTAATAACCCGCTAGTCGCTAAAATATTGAAATGTGTGCTAAATACACCAAAAAGCGCTGGATTAAGCTAGGTGCTAAAATTTCGAAATGCGCGCTAACATTCCAAAAAAACGCTAAATCTAATTCCCAAAGCGCTAAAATGGCAGTACTGATTTTGCGTATATTATAAATACAATATCACGACATTTCGTTGCAAAATTTTTATTTTTGCTCGGGTTCCGTTGTATGGCTACAAATTTCTTCAGTAAGTCTCAATACGATTCATCGGCGAAAAATCTCAACACAGCAATTCAGAAAAGTTTATAATTTGTACAACTCCATCTATTACGTCCTTTGTGTGAGAAAACATCCTTTTTAAATCTCTTTTTGTGTTTTAAGTATAAATATATTAATTATTATGGAACGTTTTTTTTACACACAAATATTTTTATTACTATTTCTGAGATTTTATGGCGCCATTGAACAAATTCGAACCTACATTTCAAAATAATAATCATTACTTTCGATAGAATTGACCAATTTTAATAAAACAAAGATTAAATGTAACTTGAAGATACGCTTTATGATTTTCTTAACGATTTCTTTGAAAAAAGAAAAGATGTTTACTTTAGACGTGATGCATTCATATAAAAACAGACAAACAGACAGACAGACAATTCTAAAAATTATAAAAATGTACTTATTTAATTATTTTTAGTTCCCCATAATGATTTTAGTCACCAAAATATATATACAATGTACAGAAAGAGACACAACATGTTATCATCATTTTTATTATATGTATATATTTAATTAAAGAGAGATGGCGCTGCTAACATCAACTTGATGACTCAAACAAAGCCACCGTTAAGCAAATTCCCTACCCATACTTCAGAATATTTATCATAACTTTTGATGGAATGAACCGATTTTAATGAAATAAAGACTAAATGTAACCCGAAGGTACACTTTAGAATTTCCTTAACAATTCTTATGATATAAATTAGTACTTTATACGTGATACGTTAACAAACAAACAGACAGACAGACAGACAGACAGAAAATTCTAAAAATGGTAGAAATGTATTTAATTACTTATTTTTAGTACCCCTCAATCACTTTTATTACAAAAATATAAAATGTACAGACATCTGCTATTTACAGTTTTATTATATGTATAGATTTCAATCGGCGCAGGAAGGTGCTTGCCCGCAGACGCCGCCTCGCTGTGACGAGTGACGACCGACGTGCGACAGTAATTGAATTTGAATCACTCCCACTTTATTTTGTCATCACTCAAAAGTACTCTACTCAGTCTACTCCGTAGCTCCGTACATCACTCCGCATTCAACCTCCAAAGTGCGCGCGCGCACGCGTCCGTTTCAATTAAAATTGCCGCGTTATCAACAAAGTATCTTAGTGTGATAAGATCATTACATTACATCACTGAACGATAAGAATTCTCAAGGACCGATCCGTCTTACAGGAGAACAAGTATCGCTAATATTCGATATGAGTTGGCAGTAGTTTAATCGAGTGTGTAAAATAGACTTTATTTTAATAGTGAAAATTGTGTGCATCTGTTTGTCCTATGTGGTGGTTTGGAACATGGGTACGACGAAAAGACTAAAGATTACAGTGGTTGGAGATGGTATGGTAGGGAAAACTTGTCTTCTCTACGTGTACACTAGAAATGAATTTCCTGAAGAATATGTCCCTACGGTGTAAGTAGATAATCTGTTTATTATCTTGGACTCAGGTGTCACAACTATAACTAAAGTTCAATGGTTCGGCTGCTGTGCGGTTTCGTACGTGACAAAATTAACAATTGATGTGGTAACATCCTTATCTTTACGGTGTTAATTTTTACCTTAGACTCAGAACAAATTGGTAAATTGTTACACATCTGTGTTTTTCCTTTCTTATATTCTATATACTTATAACTTGTTTCTTATTTTTTTTTTGTAACAATTTCATGAAATTCATACGCTTTTTACTTTTCTAAATAATTGAATAGATACTCCTTCAAATTGATAAGTAGTTTGAAATTTACCTTAAACGGTCAATTTTTAATCTGAATTAACAGTTGACTTAACAATTTATTGCTTTTCTAGAGTTAATAATATGTTGAAGTATAAACGATTCATAGTATGCTGTAAAAAGAGATTGTGTTCATCAACCCTGAGTTTAGATAACACCGGAAATGCATGGAGCTGCCGGAATCAAAAACTTATGAATAAAAATTTACTTGTTTTTTATTTTTTATTACAAGCTATTATATTGTCTACGGTCAATTATTTAGACACCGATTACGAGTATGCAATTCTGTAACAATTTAATAAGGCACCTAGACTCCTTTTGAATAAAGAATGCTTAAACGCATGATGAGTAATTTTTTAAGTTTTCGTCATCGCCTATGCCTTAATCTATAGTAGGTGCTGGTAAAGTGACTCATCAATGTATAGTATAATAATATTTATTGTACCCGTACACTTCTAACATTATTGTGATTTGCAAAAAATATATTCATATTCTAAAACATATCTATAGCAAGAGCACATACCTTTATTACTGTCAAAATTGATTTCTATGACAGAAACTACATTAAGCAAAACAGAACGTCTTATTAAATGTACTGGTGGGCGCCTATCTATCCATTTATCTATTAGGACCTTTAAAAGTCTACTGCTGAACATAGGCCTCCCCTTTAGATTTCCTCATAGAGGGGATTTTACAAATACATTAATATATATGTAAGTAAACACAGATATCTATTAAGCTAAATATAAAATAAACTATATTTTTTTGCCTTGAAATACACTTCATACACTATTGAAAATGGAACATTTGAAAGCACACAAAATTCACAGCTCATTCGTAAATCTGTCAGTAATTATTTGTTGACAATATTTTAAAATTCCTTATCAGTTGTTGTTCCGAGTTTCTTATCACCAATCTTTATCGACAATCTCCACTCTGTGCGACTGTTTGACCACAGGCTATTAAATGTTTGACATTGGCCTTAGAGTACATAATAACATGGTTAGTATACTTACTCTGAGACATTGGCAATACAAACGTAAACAATGCATGTTTTAATAATTTATTTTACGGTATTTGTAACACATTGTTCAGTAATAAACCGCAACTCACAAAATTTATACCGAGGCACAATGATCTGCTACGATCGGAGCGCCGGTCACACCTAGTGGCAACATTGCGACGTAATATGCGTTGTAATAATCTGTGGAGTTAAAAAAAAGAGAAGAGGAGGGTAGGAGGCGAGACAAGCCACACACATTCTCTTTGTGTTCGTGATGTGAACATCTCTCCAAAAACTTTAAAAAGGGACTACGCCAGAGTGTACCGTGTACAATCTAATTGCTAGTGTATTCTACCGTGTAGAAGAAGCTACCAGGAGCTGTCAACGTTTGCTGATCTTGGGAGGCTGGCTAGTAAGACCGTGAGTAGTTTATTGCTGTTTTTGGTGTGATTTTGTGACTGCGGTAACTGAACGTTTCAGGGGATTTAGATTCTCAATACAGTCCACTATATCTAGTAAAATAATCCCAATCCGCCACATTTCTGGCCTTCGAGCCGCATATATTCGAATTAGTGATCTTCGAATAATAATTTTCTACCCTTAATTCGCGTCCCGTGGACGTCATATATTTGAGTAAAACTACGCATTTAATTAATTTAATGTCCCTTATTTAATTTGCCTCTTTTTTACCTGGATGTCCATTGCTCGCGGTGCGTTTATAAAGTATTAATTTTGTAATTTGTTCATAATGTCGGATAAATTACAAATAAAAAGGCAAACACTTATTTTTAAAAAGGAATACCTATTTGCTAAATTACAAAAGGTTTTCGATATCGCGAGATCCCAAATAAATGATCCCACACAAATTCAGAATTTCTTAGCCGATTATTCCGAATTAGAAAGTGTCCGCTCAAAGTTTGAAGAAACAGTGTTAAATATTATTGAAATAGATATATCATTAAAACCGGAGACAAGATTGTCAACGCGAGAATTAGATACATTTGATGAACTTTATAAGGCATGTAGGTTGCAATATTTAAGATTAAAACCGGACGAGCAGGCATCCCTCAGTAGGAAAGATAGGAGTGATGTAAGGCCGTCATTACCTAAATTACGTTTATTTGAATTCGATGGTGATATTGAGAAGTGGACCACATTCTACGATACATTTGTATCACTTGTCCACAATCGAGATTTCGACGAAATAGATAAGTTTCACTATTTGCTTTCATGTGTTAAAGGTTCGGCATTAAACATTGTTAAAAAATTGCCCATAACAGCCGCTAATTATACTGTCGTATGGCAAAGTTTATGTAATAAATATCAAGATGATCGAATACTCGTGGGTAGGTACATCGATAAAATGATAAACTTTACGCCGTTAAATAAAGATACTACCGCAAATCTTACTTTATTTATCGAAACATTCGATCACTCTTTTAAAGCCATCGAGGCATTAAAAATTAAAAATTTACATGACTATTTATTTTGTCATTTAGCCTTACGTGGGTTGGATGCGCATACTAGGAGGCTTTTTGAAGAAAATCGGGATCAAAATTCACTTCCATCTTTTTCGGAATTAATTAGTTTTGTAAATAAACAAGTTAAAGTACTCGAACATTCATCGAATAGTACGATGTCGTTACAATCAAGAAATAAGTCTATATGTAACAATTACAAAGGCAACAATAATAACCACTACAAAAGTTATTCAAAGACAGTTTTAAATACTAATGTGTCGAATTATAATAAAAATAAAAAAATAATTTGCGCGCATTGCAATCAAAATCACATGATTTATAGGTGCGATCAATTTCGTAAATTGACCGTAGATAAAAGGATTGACCGTGTCAATACCTTAAAATTGTGTCATAATTGCCTAAAAGGAAATCATGATACCTCAACTTGTAAAAGTGAGATGTCTTGTGGTGTATGTGCGTCACTACATCATTATCTATTGCATAGGGAGCCAGTGAGCGACACGCTCGTGCCAACATCCACCCGTCCATTGTGCTCTGACTCGCAAGTGCAACAAGCACTCGTCTCGTCTCAGGCTATGAGTGACTCAGAGCGTTATACGATAGATACGCTTCATTCCAATAACGCTCACTCGGGTTACGGTGTTGTATTGGGAACGGCGCGCGTGTTAGTAATTGATAGTAGCGGCCAGCTTCAATACTGCCGTGCAGTTATTGACTCTGGAGCTCAGAGCTCATTTATTACAACTGAGTGTGCTCAACGTTTGGGCTTACCTCGAAAGAAGTGTTCGTTTAATATTTATGGTCTCGGTGGAGAGGCTGTAAAAAATCACGGCATGATTACATGCACATTAAGGTCCCTACACACTGACCTACCTAGTTTTACACTGAACATGGTCGTAGTGACTAAGGTATCTGCTGATATGCCTAACGTTCGATTCCACTCGGACGTTATTAATAAATATAAGAATTTTAATTTAGCTGATCCATTATTTTATAAGCGTTCGCGTATCGATATACTATTGGGCAATGATATAGTTTCGGAACTTATTAAGGATAAACCTTATATTATTTCATCGGATATACCAAGCGTGATCGATACCGCTTTCGGGTTTGTTGTAAGTGGTAAACTTTATAGCAATGATAAGGACAATTTAAAAAATTATAATTTATCAGTCTCATTTGATGAACAAGAGTCTTTAGATCAAACGTTGCGTAAGTTTTGGGAAATCGAAGAATTGCCAAGCAAACCCTCGATTAATCCTTTGGAACAATTAGCGGAAGACATTTTCGTGGCTCGTTATAGTCGTACTGAGGATGGTACCTATTCAGTGCCGTTACCATTCATACCAGACCCGCCTCCGTTGGGCGCGTCACGAGCGGCAGCCGAGCGGCGACTCTTGTTCACCGAGCGCAAGTTGAATCGTTCACCTGTATTACGACAAGCCTATTCAGAGTTCATGTGCGAATATGAAAATCTAGGGCACATGGAGCTTTATTCGGGGGACACCCCGAGCAAATATGTGATACCTCATCACAGTATACTTAAGCCCAGTAGTTCCACTACTCCTTTGCGTGTGGTATTCGATGCCTCGGCTAAAACGTCCACGAACGTTTCGCTTAATGATATTCTATTGACCGGGCCTAATCTGTATCGAGATATTGGGGCTATAATATTGAATTTTAGGTTGTTTGAATATTGTTTGATTTGTGACGTATGCAAAATGTATCGGGCAATTAAACTGAATCAGTCAGATAGATGTTATCAACATATTTTGTATCGTCATTCGCCTAACGATGCCATTGACGTTTATGAATTAAAAACTGTCACTTACGGCTTAAGTTGCTCACCGTTCTTAGCTATCCGCACCCTCTTACAGTTAGCCAATGACGAGGAAGAACGTTTCCCACTCGCTGGAAAGGTTGTGCGCGAGGGCGTGTACATGGATGACATTCTATATTCTTGTAGTTCATTGTCACAGATATCTCGGTTACAAGATGAACTTTTAGAGATGTTTAATTCCGGTGGCTTTATACTCAAAAGGTGGGCGAGTAATAGTGCAAAAGTTTTACAACGCGTTCCGTTAGAAAACCGAGAGTGTCCTGTTACATTTATGAAAGATGGTAACAAATATTCAGTCAAAGTGCTAGGTCTGAAATGGTTCCCTTTGACTGACTGTTTTTATTTCACAGTAGATAAGAC